GACATTTCTTAGTAACCAGCAGTGATATTGGACAAACTAATACGCGTTTGGCTATAAGGTAATGTACTTATTAACTACACAAGGTGCCAGTTACTGTAGCATTCGTTAAAATGCATAATCGATGGTCGAATTATGCCTTTAAATGGAGAAATAACCTCCTTCGAACATCTTTCTTATAAAATGCGTCTTGCGTGGTCAGATTGCAGCACTGAGAGAGCGTGTTGGTTATTAGCTCCGGTTCAACCAATCAAGTGTTGTTATGCAATGATGAACCGTAGTGTGGCGTCGCCTGGTGTCTGAGTTATTTACTATTCAGAATGGTATGCAAATGCTAGCTGAACACAATTGTATCGAGGCCGTATCGTCGTGCTCCATCACAATTCCCACTTTCCCAGCAAAAAACACCCAATATCCCAGTTCCCAGTAAAATAAAATCCCAATTCCCAGTTCCCAGTAAAATAAAATCCCAATTCCCAGTTCCCAGGAAATTCAGTAGACATGTTTCAGGAAATTCAGTAGTTTAGGTTTTCAAACACTACATAAATACTAATATTTACATACTATTATTTATCTGGGCATAATTAATTTTTAAAAAATGTAATTAATAAAAAATAAAATAAATATTAGCCCAGAAATTGAAATCCCGACGAATTGACACAATTTTCCCAGATCCCAGACAATTTTAGAGGGTCTTTCCCACGTCCGGATGGACTTCTGTTCCCGAATCACGGAAAATTTATCTGACATTTCCCAGTTCCCAGCTAATTAAAATGGCCAATCCCGCGTCCCGAAAATACCCGTTCCCCCCCTCAGTAAACCACACGTACACACACACGTGCGCGCACGCGCACGGTCACACGTACACACACACGCGCACACGCCTATGCACACACACACACACACACGATCAGCAGAGCGTCCTCTTGCGCAATCATGCGTGTACGTGTCGCAAGATCTCTGTGTGAGATGGATGTCCGGACGCGTAGCCTAGCGGTTCCTCGTCCGGAATCGGTCGCGTAGCCACGGCCTTATTTTTATTGGTGGCCAGGCGGGCCACCAACCCGACAGTTTCAGGTGGCCCGACGCCGTTTCAGGTGGCCATTGGCACCCGGGCCACCGTTAAAGTCAAGCCCTGCATGCATCACTGTGTCGAAATTGTAGGTCACAGGTCAACGGGCAGCGGAGGAAAGGTCAGATATCAGACATTTTCTGAGGACATGGACTAACGAACAGAGTGAAAAACTTTTTTGTTTCAGCGCTGACCTACCATTTTTATCACTTTATTGAAAGGACCATGAAATGTGCTTTCCACTGACGTGCGAAGAGCAGGTGTCTGATAACCTTTTGACCCTCAAGAGGAGGGTTAAACATGGATTCCTGAACTGCCTCGATGATATCACAGTCATGGCACAACCATAATCTGGGAACCCAATATGCCTCGATAGCCTGACGGCTACAGCCCAGGATTATGGCTCGAAGGTCCTTGGATCGAATCCGATCAGATTTTTTATTATTTACCTTTTTTCTGGATTTTTCTATCTTTATCCATTTAACTATTTCTTTCCATTTAAGGAAAATATTTACATGATTTATTTACAACAATTTCATAACAACAAATATTTTACAAGAATTTTTTTTTTGTTTAATAGGGTTAGGGGGGCATTAGTCTCTGGGTCACAATGCACCATAAAACAGAATTTTGAGGCATGCGATTTGTATCAACCAATGGGATTTTGGAGGTATGCAGAATGCAGAAGGTTGCTGAAATGATGTGTACGCAACTGCGTATCTGCATATCTGCGCCTAACAAAGGTCTCACTACGCACGACTTAAATGTTACGTTTATCATTCTAGCAACTGACCTCAGATGAGCCCAGACGCTCTGCAGCTCTAGTTTTGTCTTTTTTCATCTCACCCCTTCCCTGTGCCTTAGTTCTCTCTCACTAATTTGTCTCGTATACTCTCTGTCTTGTTCCCCCTCTTTTTTTGCTAGCCCTTTCTCCCTCACTTCTTGTTTCTGGTTTTTATCTCCACCTCTCTTGCTCTGTCTGTCCATTTCAGGGTCTCTGTTATGCCTATGTCCTACTCCACTATTACTTATTTTCTATCTGTCTTGCTAACTCCTCCCCATTCTCATCTCTTCTCCATCTGTTGGTTGCTCCCCCGCCCCATTCTCACGTCTTTGCCATCTTTTGATCATTCCTTCCTCCCCATTCTAACCCCTTCTCTATATCGTGCTTACTCCCCCTCCCTATTTGCACCCCTTACGTTCCTCTGTCTCACTCCTCCACTTCCCCCTCCCCCCCCCATGTTCATCTCTTATTCACTGACCATCTCCATTCTCATCCCTTCCTTTTCGATTACTCCACTGCTTGACATGCATGTATGTTCTCGTTCAAAGGCCGACATCAACTACAACATGCAGGATGATGCGGGTTCATTCTACGGCGTGACAAGTGTGTATGAGAGCAGTGAGAACGTCACAATAACGTGCTCAACAAAAGTATGCAGCTTCGGCAAGCAGGTTGTCGAGAAGGTGGAGGTGAGCATTCCTAGATGGCAAAGAGCAGTAGCCTGGTGGCATTATGAGGTTTTTGACAAAACGTTCATATGAAAGCAATGATTTTACACATTTTACCCAACTGTTCTCATATCTTCTTGACCGTTCTGATACTTACCAGCACTCGTTGCATAACTTCAAGTGGCATATACAGTAAGGCTAACTTGTCTTAGAGCACTCACACATTATTTGCACCACTACGTGCCTGAATCTGCATTTCAACATGAATTTGAGATGAGCTATTGCCATGGGGCGTCGTCCGTCCGTCCGTCAACATTTGGCTACGGTCAACGATAACTTGCGAACTGTTTGACCCACATGTTTCAAATTGCATACAGTTGTTACTCCTAGTAGGTAAGTTTCAATGGATTTTGCTCATTTTTGGTATGTGAATGAATAAGGACTGGCCCCAAAACATATCACACGGGTTTTGATATTTTTTTTAAAGTATGCAAATTAGGTAGATTTTGGCAATTTCAATATGCATTTCAGTGTCTGCCTACGGTCAACGATAACACAAGAACCGTTTGACCCACATGTTTAAAATTGCATACAGTTGTTACTCCTATGGGAGAGATTTGCACGCCCTATTTTGGAGCACGCCAGTCAACCTACTTTCGAGCCACGCCCACTTTTTGGCAAAAATGAAAATGGCCATCTAGATTCATTCGCTTTTGTCAAATTGATCTACCTACCTACCTACCTACCTACCTAATCATACCTACGTGTAATATTGTGTTTTAGATTCTTCGTTACAGTAATTTGACTGGAATATTTTATTGCTTTTATTTGCGCGATAACCGAAAACCAAAATGGCGATCATTTAGGCGTAGCGCCATCTCTCGCCCAGATTTCAGACTTTCAGATCTGAAACATTTATTTTCGCATCAAAACTAACCCTGAAACAAAACGGTGAAATTTCTATTAGTATAAAACATGGAATAAGGACATTTGATCACATTTCGGTTTGTCATAAATTAAACACTTACCAAATTTTAAATATCATCTCCCTCTTCTATCACACCCAAGGTGAGCTATAGTGTCATTGACACTTTCATTAAATTCTGCCGTCATTACTTTCTCTTTCCTGATCATGACATTACATCTGTTCAACACTACGTGAATGTCATCTATACTAACGCGATGTACAAAGAAACAGGAGTCACAATGACAAAACTGAATATCATCTCCGTACTTTTATTATCATTGTGCTACTCGCCTTATTTTCATTGCCGTGCATTGTCTTACTGATCATTATTTGTGACCGTGTATTGTTCCACTGTATGCCTGTTCATCAATATATTGTTCTATAATCCTAATTTTCCTAAATATGTGTTCGTCCAGTGACTGTGTGTTCGTCATGGCATGCTCCTTAATCTAGTGACTAATTTATATTCATTACCGGCTATTGCTCCGCTTCGCTCAGCATGTGTTTATCACTGCATGTTTTTCCACAGACCACTTGTTTCTAAGTGTGCCCTCTTCCTCTAATTATAGGTTTGTCGCCGTGATGTTCTCCTGACCGTATGTTTGTTACTGCTTTCACAGACAGAGTACTCACGCTTTGAGAATGGCCGCTTTGTTTTCCGCATCCACCGATCGCCAATGTGCGAGTACATGATCAACTTCATCCACAAGCTGAAGCACCTGCCTGAGAAGTACATGATGAACAGCGTGCTTGAAAACTTCACCATCCTACAGGTGCGCCATCTGGCAGTGCAGCATGGCATGACGTCTGTCAAGTGATATGGACTCTCGCCATGTGACAACTCTGTTATAAAACGTGTGGCATATATATAGTCTAATATCTTGGGGGGGGGGGTTATGCTTGAGGAGTGAAAGACTTAAAGGTGCTTTGTCCTGGATTGCACCAATATTACTGAAAACGGTAGTGAATAAAAGCAAAGGAGTGTACAAGGCTTAATTATTAGAAATTCAACGTTCGCTAGCCTTAATCTATCTATGATTCATTACATTTTTTAAATTCAATAAACGAGCTTAAACACTACTGTAAACATTCACGTAACATTGTGCAAAATCGTCTTTCCTCTATACGCTCAGAATACAGAGATATATAGACTATAATATATGGCAGTTTTTGAGAATTTCCACAATAAAAAGCACCCTTGCATGTGCTATATTTTAAACAATTGGCAGGTAGTATTTTTCAACGTGCTATCTATATGTGGTGTTAAAATAGTGAGGATGTAGGTACGTTGGGCAATTTATTGACCACCTATCTGCCCAACTCTAGGTAGGCCTACTCACGGTTGTACGTAACTTCTGCTGAAACACTTTTAGCCACCAACCTAACTCAGTGTCACAAAATACATGCGTATTTAATTTGTAATAATTTTGAATAGAGAATGATTTCACATAGTCAGGGAAATTACGAAATGTTACTGGTAATTGTGGTTGCTCCTTGAATCCATGCACTCTGTATTCATGGGCTTTGCTTACCATTTTCCTCTTTTTTTTCACTATGACGGCATTGGCAACCTTAGCAGCTCTAACTCCAGGCTTACACTGTGTGAGATCCTTATTGATATGATTGATAACTTCAATTTATGATTTATTAACAGGTAATACAAAGTAATACAACCTTAATTTATGGTTAGCAAAAATGCCAGACAAATTTTACTACCTCTCGGACGATCATGATGCACTATGTTTCATGGTGTCATCATAGCACAGCTTTCATGAAAATGCATCCAATCTATTATACATATTATAAACCAACAAACCTAAAACAGTAACAATCAAACATGATGAAAAACAACAAAATAAACAAATGACATTATATATTTCTAATTATTTTATACTCTGTAAGCAACAACATTTCTGACAGTAACAGTATTGTTATGTGACCTGGTTATAAATGCGCCCAGCTATTCTTCCAGTGATGGGGGACATTAACTCTATCTACAATGGAGGCGGCAAACTCAGCACTACAAGTCGTGAATTGCACTTACGTCTCCAAGTTCTCCCAACAAGCCTCATTGCTGTTTCTGTCATCATCACAGATAAATAGCACTGCCATGCAATTACTAGCTGACAATTGTTCAAGTTACACAGGACACAAAGCTCTTTATATTGGGAAGTTATCAAAAACCTTATCATATGTTTTAGTCAGTATCTCTAGGTTGTGAATGTATGTGGGGTAAAACATGCACATTAGGTAAATGTTCAAAATAGTGTTTGGGCTACTCATGTTTATTAAGTTAAACATAATATAATATATCTTCATTATTCATTTTTCATAAGTTATAACTATAATAAACATCATAGAAAATTAACATTGGATTTCTAAAAATTAGGCCTTGCACACTCTTGTTTCTTTTCACCCCTACTATGAATAAGGAAACTAATGGCTGAACATTTATTTAAAGTTAGCTACCATGTGCAGTCCGTTTAACCTGTAAAGGTGGCATGTCTTGAATTGCGTCGTGTTGAAAACTGCTGGGTTCATTACCCCGTAACATTAAGTGTATCTCGTTAGCTCATCTGACGAAGTCAGATGCAGCTTGTAGAATCGCATGAATGTCCGTGCGTGCGTCCGTCAACAGTTATGGCACAAATCTTAACCGCTCGACGTACGGTCTTGATATTTGGGACGTCGGGGGCGGATCGCAAAAAGGACTGGGTGTCGAAGTTGGGGGTAAATTAAAGGTCAAAGGTCAAGATATGTCAATGTAGGGGGAATATTTCCCCCTTAACTTAAGGTATAGGAGGAAATACGGAATTGCAGCACAAATCTCAATGGCTCGACCTACGCTCTTAATATTCGATGTATAGTGTGATGGGCAGGAAACCCATCACCAGTGCGAAATTGGAGGTCACAGGTCAAAGGGCAGTGGGGGAAAGGTCAGATATCAGACATTTTCTGAGGACATGGTCTGACGGATCGAGTGAAAAACTTTTTTGTTTCAGTGGTGACCTACCATTTTTATGGCTTTATTGAAAGGACCATGAAATGTGCTCTTCGCTGATGTGTGAAGAGTAGCTGTCTGGTAACCTTTTGACCCTCAAGAGGAGGGTTAAACATTGATTTGTTGACTGTTAACAAAGGACTGAACTGCTTTTGCTATTATTAGAGCCCATACCTGTGTGGATGTGAGGCTACAGTTGCACAGATCAATTGCAAAGGCAAATGTTTGTTGAACAAGGTTTACACTCCTTAAAGCACATTATTTTCTAAAGCAGTCTGTATATCAATAGCACCCTGAATGCTCGCGTTGGTACCGTCATCCGAAATGTAGGCAAAAACATGGGGGCAGCCCATTACTCATGCATGGGGGTGAACGGGGACTTTTCTAATCATAATTATTGCCTGCCAACCTGCAATGCAGATTGTGTTAACTCACAGCTGAGCGAAATTGTTGCCTGCCTGAATATACTTGGATTTTAGCCTGTAGGATTTCAGCAACTCAATGGAGTTAGGTGCTCTCTAGTTTCTTGACTTTACACGCACGATAGTGGGGCGGATATGTGTCTAAGGTGTGCACTTCTGGAAAGAAGCATGAAAATTTGCTCTAGGGGGGTTTTGAGTATGCTGATTTCAAAAATTGCGGGAAACACGATGTCACTCTAACGTTTCCCGCCAAAAAATCAAAAATTAAAAATGGCCGCCAGAAAAAATGTTTTCCCCCATAAATCAGCTGTGAGTGCCCCGATTACCATGATCTTGGTGTTTATACCTATGTTTTTGAAGTCAAAGAATGCAATAAAACATGTCAAATATCATAAGATATGATCTTCCCACCAAAAAGTTGAAAATTCAAAATGGCCACCACAAAACACAGTTTTGCCCTTAAATCAGCTGTAAGTGCCCCAAGTACCATGTTCTTGTTCTCTATACATATGTTTTTGAGGTCAATGAACCCCATAGAACGGGTATAGAACACATGTGATCTATCATAATATCTTCCCGCCAAAAAAAAAAATCCACAATGGCTGCCACAAACGTATTTCTTTGCCATAAAATGGCTATACGTGCCATGATTACCAGGATCTAGTTATCTATACCTGTTTATATGTCAAGGAATCCGATGGAAAACATGAAATATCCTAACATACATCTTCAAATTAAACAAATACAATATAAAATGTTTTTTTAGGTCAAAGAACTGGGTAGAACACGTGAAAAATTATGATGAAAACTTAAGTATGCCATCTATACTTCAGTTCATAATTTCTGTTACACTTTGGAAGGTACGTCTGCGCGCCCGCCAAATCGTCGCTCCATCAGATTTCATGAAGACGCAGTGCACGCAATAGAAGGCACGCGCGTATGCCGTGTAAAAGCAATCCAATGGTATATCATGCATTATGTTAAAACATTAAATGATCTCTGTCAGTGTCTCATATGATTAGATTTGCTTTCTTATTCTCTGTTACACTGTCCTGAATAGAAGCACATCTGTGTACACTCGAGATTTGCTTTGACACACTTGCATCTTTTTGTACAAGACTTTTTGTATCCACATTTTAACAGTTCCTGCCTAGCTTTGGCTGCCTCTGGAAGAGTGGTCCAGCATGGAGTCCATGGGGAATCATCTGTCACTCTCTCACAGCCCCATAAATCTGGCGATGGAACTTCAGGGTCTTCTATAAGTGACTGTCCCCATATGTGCCCTGCCTGATAAACAACCCTTTTCACATGCTGTTCCAGGGCATACAACGTTAGAGGAATGTTTTCCATCTTACGGTTTTGAGTGAACAACTTCTTCCTGGCTTCATTCACATGGCTGAGTGCTGATGTTCGCTGATACAAGAGAACAACATATCTCTCGATTTGCTCCACGTCGTCGGGGGATACCTGGCTTGGAGCATGGGATAACCGAGCAAAAATCGGTTTGAGATGAGGCATACTGCACCAAACAGCCCAAGCTGTTCTCTTTCCAATTCCATGGAAGGCAGGAACAGTATCACATCCTGATATTGCATGGAAGAATAGAAGACCCCATGATGAATCGTTGCTTAATTCAGCTGCAATTAGGTGGCACTGAATGTAAAGTAGTTTAGCACCATGACCAAATGCTATCAATATTTCCCAGTCCTGTAAAGGCCCGCTTATGTCGGCCTTACGACCTAGTCGCCGACAAGATTTGAATATCGTACGTCAAAAACCGGCCAGATCGCCGATAAAAACATCGGCGACCAAACTCGACATGAGTCCTCTTACGATCGAAATACGGTCGCCGACTGCGATCGCAGAGAATAGAACATGTTCTATTTCTATGCGGCTGTCGGCGACAAATCGTGAGTGGCAGCCAATCACCGCAGCGTGTCGAGTCACATGATTATCAAAAGTCACGTCATTAATAAAATGGCAGCCTACACGCCACTCGTCAGCAGTTTACAAAGAGGGATTATTGCACAAACCCTTTCTCAAATATATATTAAGTTTTCCGTAATCACATGAAAAAAATTTCTGCACATGATTATAACGATGTTCAGAAAATTGAGGATAGATTTACGAAGTTACATGATGTTTACTGGTAAGCGCCATTTTGTTGTTTACGTACGTGACTCGTTTTATGTAGACTGGTCCCGGCGTCAAACTTGCTCTGTTTGTGCTAAAGAACTACTTGTGCTAGTACAAATACTGGGGCCGCGAACCCGTCTACGTTTCATGCAGGAACGCTACGATCTGATCGGCGATGTACAAGCGTAGTCACTCCAAGTCGACATGAGTGGTG